CTAATAAAGGTTTTTATTAATTTATAGACTTTTCTTATAAAATTCATCCTTTAAAATGATCCCTTTAAAACATGTCTCAGATCATGTCATTTATTTTCTCTGTTAGGTCTTTAAAGGGATTTCCTCTTTATTTAGTTAATTATCTGGATGATAACTGTCTTTTCTATACTAATGATTGTTGGACTCTTCAACATACCTTTTTGACTATACATTGCTAGTTATATGAACAACATAGATCTAATCTTTAAAATGCTTTTTTCTGTCTTTTGCTACCTATCCAAATGTAAGACTCATCTTTCAAAATACAGCTCAGGTGCTAATTACTCCTTTAAGTCTTCTCTTCTCCGAGATGAACTACTGTGTGCTTCTTGTTGCCTTGCTCATTTTCCTGTTCACAAAAGTATCCCAACTGTATGCGCTCATGAGTTGAATAGATTATTTTTCCCACCATTAGAATGATGAATAGTTCAAGACATTCTCTAGTGACAAAATATTGGTGACCAATAAATATCTTTATTTTTCAATAAATAGGTTGGATTTTGTTTGTTGCTCCTAAATACTTGCCCTAATGAAAGAACATAAAATGTCCTTAAATTCTCAAATGCCTAACCATTATGTGATGGTGTTGACACAGGAGTAATTTTATGTATTTTGGGTATTTTTCATATCATGAAGAAAGTTTGTGCTGAATCCCTGAAGTCTTTTTAAAAACTGATTTAAATATAAAATCTAACACTCAATTTCCCTTCCTTGAACCTTGTTTCTCTCATCTTTAGCTATGAAAAAATTCCCCTGAATTTTTCCTTTTCTACTTTTTCTTGGCTGTAAACATGCTGTCCCTTAGTAAATAGACAAGAAAATAAAATCTTCACAATTGAACTTGCAAGGCATGAATTTTCCAAAGAAGTTTCTTGGATTTTAGGCCCAATCAGAAGTATATATGTTTTATTTATTGTGAAAATACTGTACAGAGGGGTTACAGTTACATGAGCAAGGTAATGAGTCCCTTTCCTATCAAGCATTGTTAACTCCTCATTTGTTTTTTCCCTACCATCCTTTTCTCACCCCACCTCCCCAATTCCTCCCTTTCTCCCCTCTCTCTACTCCCCTCCCTCGGAAGTTGTAAAGTTAATTTTCAACATAGTGTCTTATACATCTCATTGTTACAATGAGTCAACTTGTATCCTTGTTTTAGCATTTTGTTATTTCCCTTCCCCTCCTCAAATTATAAAAATATATTTACAAGATTCAGGGTACCAGAATAGAATACAGTGACAACAGGGGTTATATACCATGGGGGAAGAACATATAAGAGAAACAAGAAAAAAATCATATAGTACATTATAAGTACATTAAAAAGAACAAGAAAGATAAAATCTCTTGTGTCCCTATCTTAGGGTTCATTTTGCTTAGCATCACGTTATATAGTCATATGCACATAGCTTTTGACCTTTTCTGCTTGTCCTAGATATATACTAGTTATTGCAAAAAAGGGAAACCATGGGACCTATGTTTCTTTGGGCCTGGCTTACTTCACAATATGATTTTTTTTCCAAGTCTTTCCATTTCCTAACAAATGGAGCAGTGTCATTCTTTCGCCAATCAGAAGTACTTGAGACTTGATTCTACACACAAGACATTTGCAGATAAGCTATGTTCCATTTCCCTGATATGTCTCTGGTGTTCACAGCCTTGACTGAAACTAGTGCTTCATTGAAGCTCCTGGCTGAGTGATCTGTGAGGAGAAAAAAGACCTGAATGTGTTTCATTGCTTCCCCCACACCTAACTCATGCTAATAAAGATTTCTTTTTCCCTCTTGGATAGGCCAGTTACTTAATTTTCTTTAAGATTTTTTTTCTAATCTATACATTTAAAATCAATATGGAATACATAGTATATATTATGGATTACTGTAATATTTGTACATTTTTTTTCAAAAAAGGGAAAATATGGGAAGGGTTCTGGAATATCTGTGGAATTGTAGGGTGGGTATTAATGCTTCCTAATGATTACCATGTATATTTACATCTCACCATGACAAAAAAAAGGAGAATTGGTAAATTTAAAATATATTAATATGTTGTCATTTCCATATGGAAAATGTTAACCAAGTTTCCTTGAATACCTCTGGCTACTGTTGGCAAAGCTTCCACCTTGATTTCATGGTTCCCTGTGACTTTAACAGGAGAAAAAAAGCAAGAGAAGAGAATGTGAAGGGACTTGTTCAATGTCACATGTTATATGTCACAGCCCTGGGATTTGAACTTACACTGTTGATTTAGAGACTAAACCGTTAGTATCCAACAACATTGACATCCTTACTTATAAAATTAATAACTTTACTCATGCAAAAATAAAGGACTTTCTTTAAAAGAAGATTGTTAATTAGAGATTTCATTTAAGTATACCTTTCTAAATTAATGATGATACAATTTTATTTTTACCTTCTTGACTTTTGGAATCTATCTGTACCTGCAGTGTTTTCCTTTGTTGTAAAAGGGTTAATGTATGTAGAGATAAAAATCTAATATTATAAATCTTATTATACCCAATGCTAGTTCCTATACTAATTCCATTTTATGTTCTTGGTTGCCAAAAACTTGACCTAGTTTTTAAACATCCTATAAATTCATAGCAAAATGTTAAGAGAGATGACTTAGCAGGAGAGGGCACCTGCATGATGAGCTTGCTGTATCCTCAGGCATTTTCTTTTTTGAGCCAAAGCGATTTCAAAGTGGAATATGTATTCCTGTATCAGAAGCTGTAGGGCTGACCTTGAGGGAAGTCAAGATATTTAGTTAAAGTAATAGAATGCTATAATCCTGTTTCCATTGAAATATTTTTTTACCAAATGGAACATATGGAAACATCTTATGAAAGTACATAAATCTAAAAATGTATTTTAAAGCATTATACTTACATTGACAAATAAATATTGGCACATTTACTCAACCTTTTCAAGTTTATGCCTTAAAAATCCATAATTAGTTTTGTGCTTCTTTTGCCTTAATTCCTGATTTTTTTGTTGATTTTTTTTCTATAGTGTCATTTTGATGCTTGATACTACTTTAGCCATTATTATGAATTATTTTCCATGTGCCAAAAAGCAAAGATTGATACTTGGAGCAGAATAAAATGTAATTTTTATAGGTTAACAGAGTTTGCAAATGATATTCTAATAAACCTGAAGATCTAGGTTTTTTTTTTTTTTTGGTTCAGGTGAGTATTTTAAGTATTTTATGACCATTACAGTGTTTAAGAAAAGCTCATAGTAAATTGTGGCATCTCTTCATATTTTTGAATAATTACTGGGTACCAATTGAGCTATAGTGCCCCTGCAATCTTTATGGTTGGTGAATTGGAGATAAGTCTTATGGACTTTCCTGCTAGGGCTAGTTTCGAGCAACGATCCTCAGATCTCACCCTCCTCAGTAGCTAGGATTATAGCCGTGAGCCACAGGTGCCCAGCTTTCTTTTGTTGTTTTAGTGTGGTTTTTTTTTCTTCTACCTAGTTGTGAGAATATTTCTTTATCTTCATTTATATTTTTCCAAGCTTCTTGAAACATAGCAGACATGACTTAATTTATTTAAAACGTTTTATGCTTTATATATTGTATATTCCTTTTTATCTAGTTTTTTTAAATTTTATTTAGCTTTATTTAGCTGTATTTCTGATTCAGCAGTTGTCACTTCTGGATATCAATTAGCTTGTCATCAATATATTCATTTTTTTGTATTTTCCTTCTAATTTAATTTTCAGTTATCTGTTCCTTTAAGTATTTTTGCCTATTCTGATTCATCCATTACTTCTAATAATTTGAAAATTTCCCCTAATTATGCAGTCTTATTTTTAATTCATTATTTTGTCATATATTTTCTTAGCTCTTATTTTATTGAATTCATGTTTGAATGAAGTAATTGAAGCATGAAGTAATTGTAAAAAAATGTTCTTTGTATGGTCAAATAAAGTAGGTTATCTGTAATTATCAACTTCTCAGATTACGTATGTTTCCTATATACTCCATCTTTTAGAGGGTTTCATTGTCACTGTCTCTTAGGGTTTGAAGAAATACTGCATAGAAGTCCTATTCATTGTATAGTTCTGGCACCTTCATAGTGTACATAGTGTACTAATTCCATAACAATCTAGTTCTTTCTCCTTAGATTCAGAGAGAAATTAGTGAAAATAGGGGTGTGTGTGTGTGTGTGTGTGTGTGTGTGTGTGTGTGTGTGTGTGTGTGTGTGTGTGTGTGTGTGTGTGTGTGTACGTACACAAGAACCAAAACGTTGGGAGCAGCCATGTACTGTTCTTGACTCTACTTGGGGATCTTCATTTCCTTTCAATGCCACTTTTACAAGTTGACGTGATGTGTGTTCTTGCCATGCTTATCTGCTTTAGGGCAAGGCTAGGCAAATACAGCCTAAAGGTCATAGCTGACATACTCGTTTCTTTTTCTCTCTCTTTCTCTTCCTTTTTAAAATACAGGTATTTTGGAACCCAGTTACACCCACTCGCTAACATATTGTCTGTGACCCCTTTCATGCTTCAGAGACACAGTTGAGTACCCGTGACAGAGACCATATGGCTGGTGATGCTTAGGGAAAGTCTATGACATGTTCCTGGAGATAGTTTTATTTTTCTTGTTACATTTTGACAATTTGTCTTCATTTCCTTAGAATTCAGAAGAGATATAGGTGTGCTCTTCATTATACTCTCTTGATAAGGAAGCTACAGTTATGCAGGCTTGTAAATGGTTCATTGGTAATACAGCCATCATATTCTTACACTAAAATGCTTGAGATTATAAAGAAATGTTTGTTGGATTACTATCGTTTATTTTATATAACAGCTTGTTCTTGTATCTTACTGGGACATGTATCTCAATAATTAAAATTATTTACATTCTTTTTCTTCTTCAATGTTGTCTTTTTTAATGAAATATTAATTCACCTTTTTGGGAATTCTATTTAATTTTCTAATGTATTTTTTTTGTTGAAGGTATACGAAGTTTCATCAGATTTTGAACAACATTGGAGAGAATGAAGGTGGTATTGATAAGTTCTCCAGAGGCTATGAAACCTTTGGCATCCACAGATGTTCTGATGGTGGTTTGTACTGCAAAGAATGGGCCCCAGGAGCAGAAGCAGTATTTCTTACTGGAGACTTTAGTGAGTATTAAGAAAGAGTTGAAGCTATTAGTTTTTTCCTCTTCTATTTAAAGCACACACTGTATTTTGTCAACATTAGGACATGATGATTAATGATTCAAATAACTGATATTTCAAATGTTTCCATATATTTTATTTTACTTTCTTTTTATTATTTTATTTTCTTTACTTGCATTTGAAATCAGGGCCTTTTCCTGGCTTGGCTAATTATGATTTGAGAACCACATCTCCAAATGTTCTCCTGGGAATTTTCTGCCTAGCATTAGTTTTAAATAGCAGTCCTTTGGCTTAGCCTCCTGGGAGGCGAGGATTATAGGCGTGAGCTACCTGTGCTTGTTCAAAAATTATTATTTATACTCATGTAATAGAGCTGTTTCTCCTGTGATGTGTTCCTGAAAAAAATGTTATTTTCTGTATCTATATGAAAAATAACCGGGTATGAGTAAAGTCATGGTAGGAAGACTACTGTAAATGTATTCACCTGGGCTGATAAGTTCTGATGAAACAAATAGCAAGGCAAGTGAATGTTGTAGCAGAGCTATATCTCCACTAGCATGAGCACCTCACTCTGGTTGGCATCTGAGTTTTTGCAAGGATTCTCTACAGTCTCATACCTGTTTCTGAGACCTTGATAAATGCACACCGTTGGCCTTGAGGGCAACCTTAGTCACTTTTTGTTTTTCCCTTCCCTTTTCTGTAATGTAATGGGATCTATCACCTCAGCATCACCATCTACACTCAGCTACACTAGCAGGTGATAAAACTCTTAGTAGCACAAAGTTAAGCGTCCTTGCTTACTGTATAGTGGGAGGAAGGACCTGTATAATGATCTATAATATAATTTGCAAGGTTTGATTTTGGAAGGGTATAGAAAGGCCACAAAATGACAATATAGGAAGTTAATGGTGACAGGAAAGTAACTGAAAAAAACAGGCATTGGTAGAATGCTCTTGAAAAGGAAAAAGAAATGCCAAAAGGATTTTTGTTTGTAAATCTTTAGAGGAACGTAATGTGTAAAATATTATTTTCACTCATTACCAGATTCAACAGTTTCATATTATTGCATTTTTATGACATGCTGGAGGTAGGAAAATTATTGCAACAGAAAATAGATCATGGCTGTCAGGTCCTGAAAGCAGTAGGTGAGCTTGATCAAAAAGGAACATGAGGAAACTATTTGGGATGATGATAATGTTTTAAGTCTTGTTTAGGATAGTAGTTTCCAACTGAATCAACATATATAGAATCATGCAATAAGAGTGAGTTATACTGGGTATAAATCAAATGTCAAAATTCAATAAAAACATAGCAAAAAATTAACAAAAATTACTAAAAGTTTGTTTATATACATATAAACACTGTTAATATATAAATATCATTGATAAGGTATTTTCTTTCTATTTTGTGTTGTGTTCTCTTCATCTGGTTTATGGAAGTCTTATTGAAAATGCTAATTTTTTTATGGGCCATATATGACACATATTTGAGTTTAAAAGAAAACTCTTATACTAAGACTTTTCCACAGTTAATTACAATTTCTCTCATAGGTTACTTAAGTTACAGTTTTAAAATTAATTTTACTTATTAAATAATGAGTAACACAAAATATAAATTTTTGTTTCTCAGTTACATTGTTTAACCTCATTTTAGTGCTCAAAAGTCACATGTAGCTACAAGCTTCTTTATAGGAAAATGAAGGTTTAAATTTTTTTTCCCATACAGTCACAAAGAAAAAATAATGTCAGATGTTTATGTTTCAGGAGAGTTATTGGAAAACTTTATAGAAAAATTTATGAATGTCCTGAGACCCGAAATTTCAGATTTGTATGATCTAGTGATAATTAGGAAAGGTACTTTTAGGATAGTAGGATTCTCACTTAAATTAGTATTTTATTTATAATTTCCATACATGAAAACATGGTTATTTCTGCCTTGACCCCTGTTTGTTAATAACCAAACTGTTTAAAATCAGCCTATTATCAAAAGTTCTTTGTCATTTTATTCTTTCTTTTAATTTTTATCAGACTGTATATGCATTATGTAGATTTAATGCATTTTCTATCAAGATGCTAATGTCATTTTTCATAGGAATAGAGAAATCAATCTTCAAATTTATATAGAAGCATGAAGTCCACAATAGTCAAAATTATTCTGAGCAAAAAAGCAACATTTGAGTTACTAGAGTACCATATTTTAAGCTATATTGCTAAGCCATAGGAGCAAAACCAGCATGTTAGTGGAGCAAAACAGACCTTGAGACCAGTGTAACATAATACATGACACAGAAATAAACCCACACATCTGTAGCTACCTGATTCTCAGCAAAGATTGCAATAATGTATTTTGGAGAAAAGATAACCAATTTCACAAGTAGTACTGGGAAAACTGGCTATCCACCTGTAGAAGATGGAAGCTAGGTTCTTATCTCTCACTTTGTATAAAAATCAATTCAGAATGGATGAAAGGCTTTAATGTCAGCCTGAAACTTTGAAACTACTAGAGAAAAACCTAGAGAAAATCCTTTACGGCAATACCTTTCTTCAGAAGCTCAGAAAATAAAAGTAAAAATTGACAAATGAGGTTGAATCAAGTAACAAGACTTTCTGCATAGCAAAGGAAAGAGCCTCCAGAATGAGAGAAAAAATTTTGAACTGTCTATGTAACAATAAGTTACTGTCCAGAATATATAATATAAAGAAGATGTACATATATACCATAAATGTGTAGTCGGATAGGATTAATTATATAATATTATTTATGAAAAGAGTATGTTCTTGTTTACTCCTTTATATTTTTGATCAACTAAACTGACAATATTTCATTTACAACTACTTGGAACAGTCAAATATATAAATGCCTTTTAAGAAAAAACCCCCACAAAACCAATTCTGCCTGCTACCGGTGGCTCATGCTTGTAATCCTTGCTACTTAGTAGGCTAAAATCTGAAGATGATGGTTCAAAACTAGCCCTGGAAGGAATGTCCATGAAACTTTTATCCTATCACAGAAAAAGTTAAAAATGGAGCTGTGTTAGGGGCTGGGAAGGTGGCTCAGTGGTAGAGTTCTTGCCTTGCATGCATGAGGCCCTGGGTTTGATTCCCCAGCACCACATGAGCAAAAAGAAAAAAAGCCTGAAGTGGCGCTGTGGCTCAAGTAGTAGAGCGGTCGCCTTGAGCTGAACAGCTGAGGGACAGCGCCCAGGCCCAGAGTTCAGGCCCCACGACTGGACCCTCTCCTTCCCCCCCCCAAAAAAAACGGAACTCTGGTTCAAGTGGTAGAATGAGCAAAAGGAGCTCAGGGACAGCACCCAGGCCTAGAGTTAAAGCCCCAGGACTTGGGGGGAAAAATCCATGACTTGTTTAAAATGAAAAAGGATCTAGAGTTTGAAAACACATTTGAATTTTCTAAGTGTATTTCTTCATTTGCTTTGGTGAGGATAAAAGTGTTATTTATCTTGCCTATCTAATTAGGTTACTCTGGGTACTAATTTGCGAATATGAACATTTGTATGCCATATTCAGTTCTGTGTTAATGTTAATTGGCAAGTTGGCAAAATGCTCTCATTTCCAAAAGGCTTTTTTTCTTATTAAAATTTACTATTACCTGTATTTCTAGCTACTTGGGAGGAAGAGATTAGGAAGATAAATTCAGGGCCAGCCATGATAAAATGTTAATGAAATCCTCCCCTTATCTCAAACAAGCCAGGGATTGTACACATCTGTAATCTCAGTATATATGTACACACAAAGACATACACACACACACACCACACACACAATTTTAAAACTATCATTGACCTTGCCAAAATATAACATCCATCTATTTTGCCCATCCAGAGGCAGATCTGTCTATTGCTATTCAAATAATTTAAAAACTGCTTGAAAACAACTTCATGTAAAATATAGTACATTTTTATTTTTTTTTAAAAGGAGAAAATCATTTATTTGTCTCTTTCCCATTTTTTTTAATGACTCAATATTTTAAACAGCTAGTTAGCAGCCACTGCAGTGTCCAAACAGATAGTGTACATGCAATATCATTTCTCAGAATTGGAATCTTACCACCCAGAAGGTGTTTTTCTGAAGACTAGAAACTGCACTCCAGGTTTGAAATGAATTTTTAAAACTTTGAATCATCTGCAGTCCTGGAAAGATTCATTCTTCAGAAAATTATTATGATTTAAAATATACTGGGAGTTTTGGTACTAAGTCATGTTTATTGCAGGCTGCTAGCATAATTGAAGAGACCTAGCTTCTTTTCAGTATCTAGATGATAATAAGAATGAAAGGCAGTAAGCTACATATGTCAATATAAAATAAATTGGGTTCCTATTTGCTTAAATGAAAACATTTTATTTAAAATTACTAAGTGTAGAAGCTAGCCACTTTTCAAATAAGCCAAATGTCGATCATTGATAGACTGAACTAAAACACACATAGACATATACACTCATGATTTTTAATCCAATAGAAAAAGGCAACCACTGATTTTTTTTCCAAGTGGAATGACACTGAAAGAATCTTTACTTCTGTTTTCTGAACAAAATTCATCTCTAAGTTTTTTTTTCATTTACTAAATGACAAAGAAGTATCATAGAGCCTTTGTTTCTTAATCTCCTGTGTTCTGAAAGAGGGCCACTTAAAGTGTGCTCTGTGGATTTTATATGTGGTTTTAGACACTGGAATCAGCTTATAAGACATTGTCAAAAGTAGAGTAATTTTGTTTATTCTAGTTTTTGAGTCTAATAATGATTTGAATTTTCAAATAATTTTGTGTAAGTATTGGTCTTGCTCAAATTTTAAGTTTTAAAAGAGGTAATTTTTTTATTATTATAGGTAGATTGAAAAGCACGGCTCTAAAAATGAGATATCATAGTAATTGGTATAAACCAATATGATTGGAAGTGTAGTTCTAGTATCAACTGCTTTTGCATGCTCTTTGTTTCTTATAGTGGCATGGTCAGTTTTCACTGTAGTGTGACTGGCCTGGTAAAAACTGCT